CAATTTTCCTTCAGTTTTGAAGCCAACGGTTACCTACCCATCGATGGGTAAATGCTTCCCATCGCTGGGTGGGAGGTTGACTTTCAAATAAGGAAAGAATCAGCCTTAAATGACTCCCAACGGTCATGCCTTCCCATCGATGGTTAAGCCTTCCCATCGCTGGGTTCCCATCGATGGGTAAAGCTTCCCATCGCTGGGTAAGGGCATTCTGCCTTGTGGTAATGTTGCACCAAGGGTTTAACATCGATGGGTAGAACTTCCCATCGCTGTTTGGCATGGTTCTGGAAATTAGTTTGGCTAAGGGACTGCTTACCCATCGATGGGAAGATCTTCCCATCGCTGGGTGACATGATTCTGGAATCCCGGGATCACTTACCCATGCATGGGTGAAATCTACCATCGCTGGGTAGATGGCTAGTCCAGAACCATGGCTTAGCCGACCGGCACTAAAACCCGACCGAAAAATGCAAAGTTCTCCAAAGTAAAAACTAAGTATATAAAACACTTATTTATTGTATTTTGATGTCAAAAAAGGCTTTGTAAGTTGAAAACCACGTCGTTAAGGTAAAAACCACGGTTGACCAAGTAAACACCGTACACGGGTGGTTTTCGCCAAAAGACAAAACCGAAAGGTGGTTTTCATGATGTTTTGATTGTAGAACCATTTAAATGCTTTCAAAAACAATTCCCACACAAAAAGACTTGAAAACCATTTCGTTTAAGTAAAAACCACGGCTAGCCAAGTTTATGCCGTTTCGCGTGGTTTTTATCAAACGACAAAAAACGAAAGGTGGTTTTTGAAGTGTTTTTGATGAAAAACTATTTAAATGTGCCCAGAAGTAAAAACCAGTCATAAAAAGTTGAAAACCGCTTGGTTAGTTCGGACGCCAAAAACCAACGCCGAAAACCGAACGCCGAACGCCGGTTTCTGAAACCCGAACGCCGGATGGCTTGGTTTTTGGTTTGGGCGAACACCAAGTGTTTTTAATGTTTTAAACATGTTTGAAAAACATTTTTATGATGTGTGAAATGCAATGAAAAGAATTTTAGCCTAAAGAGCCAAGGTGTAAAGGTTGGGTCGGTCTTGATCACAATTATGACCGACTCAACAACACTAAGACTAGGGTCTTCGTTCTTGGTCTTCTTTTGGGTCTTGTTCTCTTGCTTTCTTCTTATATTTATTTCTCGCCTTGTATATTCAACAACTTGTCTCGCTCACGGCGGTTTGGCATTATCAAAACCTGTCATAAAAACGAACACGGCTTTAGTACGAAAACGTGATAAACCCGTGTTTCAACAGTTGAGACTAACATCTTGTCACTTAGTATAATTCTGAACGGTCTATAGCCAAAGCATTAACGAGAGCGGGATATCGTTAGTGCGTGTGAGACTAGCTAGTGAGAGTTAGATGTTTGACCTAGTCTCTTGGTCAATGACGGAGTCTTAGCATCTACTCTCGGGCAGATATTATCGTTAATAATAGGATGCCAGACCTGACCCACCTTAAGGACATTGCCTAGACAATTTAGTCTATGCTCTAAGTGTCCTTAATGCGACTATTGGTATCACGATCCTTAGACTTGAAGTATTACGTTCTTCGAATGCATGAACCCGCATGCTTTGATTCATTGTCCTAAGCCGTATGAAATAAGGATGGTACACAGGCTTTGTATTGGGCATGCTGCTGCACGTATTCGAAGACGTAGATTATGTACAAAGAATTTGTCACTGCTACTCAAGCAGAAAAATGTCTTGTAGGGGCCCACTGATAAGTATGACTGAAGAAATGCATGGCCATGCTGAGATGAGTTTAGACATCTGTTCTCATCAGTCGGACTTGTTAATCAGTAAATAACTTAATGGCTACAAGTTGGATATTCTATATCCCTTGCACTAACTTAAGTTATTGGGACAAAAGGATCTACGTTATATAAAGTCTTAGTCGTAGAAAGGTTTTGACGGAGCAAACGTCTGAACATATAATCTGGGGATAATAATGTGTTGCTAGATACCGCTTATGACTTATAGTATTGGTGTAGAGTCAATACTGTGGCCAGTTTTATAAGTGCCTATATGGGTCACACACTTTGGACAATTTAAAGAGTAAGATTATAAGAAAGGATAATATTTAATTTGTATATTGTAAAATAGTAAAATAAAATGTTTAATATAATATATATATATATATATATATATGTGTGTGTGTGTGTGTGTGTGTGTGTGTATATATATCAAGATGGCAGTTTCTCTCTCTACATTTCCGGCGACCGGCCAACCACCGGCGGCCATATCCTCACACCACTCCCTAGGCGGAAAAACCCTCTTCTCCGACCTCTTCAAGGGTGATGAGATGTGTTTCCCCGGTAAGCTTTGTGGTCTTTATCGAGCAGCCCCCTCAGTCCAGTTCACGGCAGAAGAAGAATCACGCCTGGCCAGAAACTTCAGTCATGCAATCATTGGAAGGTGCAGCAAAGTTATCCATATGCAAGACGTTGAAGAGTTCCTCATTAAGGGGGGATTTAAGGAGTTCAAACTTAGAAGACTGAAATCACAAGAGATTCTCTTCATTTTCAAAAGGGAGGAAGACTACCTAAGATGGTTTCACCGGCGCAAATGGAACATAAAATCCTCAACGATCACCCTTTGCAAATGGTCTGTTGACTACTCACACTTCAAAGATTGTCCAGTTATTCCAGTATGGGTAGAAATCAGAAACATTCCTTTACATCTTAGTGATCATATTCCTCTATACTCCATAGCTTCAGCACTGGGAAAGCCACTGAAACTGGGCAGGAAAACAGCCATGGGAATCTACCCGGGCAGTGCTAAAGTCTTTGTTGAAATGGATGTCTCCTTTTCCAAACCTCCTAAGATCCATCTTAGACTTGGCACAAGAGACCTATGGCTACCTTGCTCATATGAAGATCATCCCCCTTTCTGTTCAAAATGCCTAAGGTTTGGTCACCAGCTTTCCCAGTGCCGGAAACTCACATCTCAAGCAGAATTGGTGGGGCCCTCAGGAGCGGGAGGTTCAAAGCAAGAATGGAAAATGGTCATGAGGAAGGTTCCAAAACCCAGTCATGATTTGAGGCATAAGGCCCCCACCCCTGATTATTACAGTAGAAGACAACACCTTTTTTGTGCCACTATATCCATGGAAGAGGTCCAAAAGGCAGTCTGGGATTTGGATGGGAACAGCGCTGGAGGGCCTGATGGCTTCAATGGAAACTTTTTCAAATCTGCCTGGGACACAATTAAGCAGGATGTTTTGATAGCTTCTCAAGATTTCTTCATGGGGCAACATACTCCAAAAGCTTATGGAAGCACCTTTCTAACCCTCATTCCTAAAATAGATAACCCAAAGAGATTTGAGGATTATAGACCAATCTCCCTGTCCACTTTCATGAGCAAGATTAATACAAAAATTCTGGCCAACAGGCTAAACACCCTCCTACCCAAACTGATCTCCAAGGAGCAAGCAGCATTTCAAAAGGGAAAATCAATTGATGATCACATCCTCATGGCACAGGAGGCGGTTCACCTTTTGGATAAAAAAGTGTATGGAGGTAATCTAATCATCAAATTGGACAAGGCAAAAGCTTTTGATAAACTTGACTGGGAATACTTAGAGGCCCTACTTTTGAGATTTGGATTCAGTAGTCTATCAACTTCTCTCTTAATGGCCAACTTAAATGGGACCTTATTCAGTATACTCATCAATGGAGAGCCATCAGGATTTTTCAAAATGGAGAGGGGGGTAAAACAAGGAGATCCACTCTCACCCCTTCTTTTCATCCTAGCAGCAGAAGGTTTCAGTAGGCTCATCAATATGCAGATGGACACTAACCACCTGCTCAGATTCAACTCAGGCCAGGTCTTATTTCCTTCCCACCTTATTTATGCTGATGACATTATAATCTTTTCCAGGGGAGACAATAGAAATCTGCTCAAACTCAAGGTCACTCTAGATATATACCTCAAGGCTACTGGGCAAGAGATCAACCTTAACAAGAGCAGATTCTACACTTCAAAGCACACAACCAGCTCCCAAAATCAACGCATGGAGAAGGCTCTAGGAATCAAAAGAGGGAACCTACCTTTTACCTATTTGGGAGCTCCTATCTGTAAAAGGATTCTGAGAAAAGAGCACTGCAAAGATATCTTGGGACATTTTGAAAAACTTATTCACTCTTGGTACAGCAAGACTCTCAACCAGATGGGTAGACTTATACTAATAAAACATGTTCTTTCTTCAATCCCATTACATATCCTTGCAGTCCACACCATTCTCAAATCAATCATCCACACCCTCAACAGATACATGGCCAACTTTTTGTGGGGACAAAAGGAAGGATCCAATAAACACCACTGGGTTAGATGGGCACAAATAACAAAACCTGAGGTAGAGGGAGGGCTGAGGATCAAAAGCTTAAAGGACCTACAGCAAGCATACACCCTTAAACTTTGGTGGAAGGCAAGAAATGACATTGGGATATGGGGGTCCTATGTGAGAGCCAGGTATATGAAAACAGGAATCATGAAGGAAAGGATCACTAACTCTCCAACATGGAAAAGGATTTGTAGATCTAATGATCTGGCAACATCCCATACCACCACTACTAGTCCAGGCTTGCTTTGGGAAGGAGGAAACTTCAGCCTCAAGAGTGCTTTCAACATGGTCCAGGAAAGTGGGACAACCCTATTATCCTGTAAATACATTTGGCACAGCTCAAACATCCCAAAAATCAAGATCTTCTTGTGGAGACTCCTAAACAGTGCCCTTCCTTTCCCTAAAAACCTATGCCGTTTCACAGCAGCCCTTCCCAGTTCCTGTCCTCTATGCCATAAAGATAACGATGACATTGATCACTCCATGCTCCACTGTCCAACTGCAAAAGAGGTATGGAACTTCATGGCTTCCATTTCCAACGGCCCAAGGGTTAAGGAGAACACCACATTACGTCAACATCTTCTTGCATGGTGGTTTGGTAGCAGCACCAAACACTTCGGAGGAAACCTACGTCTCTTCTCCCCAGGCCTCTGCACTTGGTCCTTGTGGAAGGCACGTAACTCTTATATTCATAACGCAGCTAAACCAACAGTGGAGGGTGTTATTAAAACATGCCTCAAAACTCTCCAAGCTTGGGCATGGATAAACAGGAACAAAAAATGGATGGCTCATGATGACGACTTCGAAGGCATGGGATTAGATTCCTTTTGGCGAAATGGTCGTAGAATTTTATCTAAATCCTTTGTATAAGCTGGTTGTTTTCTTCTTGTATTACCCTTCAGGGCCCACTTGTATCCTCTCTCTCCTTTTCCATTAATAAAATCCTTTAAAAAAAATAAATATATGTGTGTGTGTGTGTGTAATTACTTTTAACCGTGTACACACACATATAAGTATATATATATTACATTATATATTATATTGTGTACATTTGATTTTGGAGTGTCATTTTAATTATGAAAATAATTATTTTGACAAAAACTATTTTAAAATATATCTTATATACTTTTTTAAAAATGTTTTGGGTACTTTATTTTATATCATAAAAATTATTGATGTCGAATAAAATACACTTTGAACATTTGAGAGGAGAGGAATTAAATTCCTCCCCCTCACCATTTCGTATATACACTAAGTGGAGCTTGTCTCCCACTTTTGAAATGAGTGGAGGAGGACACTTTGACAAAAGTGTTTTGTCTTTTTATTATTGTTATTGTCTTTTATACTTTAATAAAAATGAAAGCTCATTTACTCCCCCCTAAGAGAGAGTTTCGGCCAAGAAGGGAAGAGGAAGAGAAAAACATTTTTGAGTTCCAAAGTTGTTATTTAGGTGTAGAAAATTGATATAATATTTTCTTTAAAATATTGTTGATATATTTTCTACTATTTAATATACAAGATTATTATTATCCCTTAAATAATCTTTATATTTTAATATACTACTTTAACACTTGCTAGCACAAGTGTTAGGGTAGACTCTGGAGATTGTTCGTGTGTAAAAGTTAGAAGCCGGACGCTTGAACGGCTATGTTTGCTCCTTCAACATCTTTTGCTCGACTTCACGTTCATACCGCTTTACCGGAGAAGGTATAAGTTTCTATCTCTAGCTATGGTTTTAGTACGTTTTCTTGGGCTAGTAATCTCTATTGGGAGCTTAAAAATCTTTTGCTCGACTTCACGTTCATACCGCTTTTTTGTAAAAAGTATAAGTTTCTATCTCTAGCTATGGTTTTAGTACGTGTTCTTGAGCTAGTAATCACTATTGGGAGCTTAAATTTTTGTATTTCCGCTGCCCTCCCAACCGTGGTTACCTTTCAGTACAGCACCTTGGTACCACCAGGCGATACCTTAGTAGCGCCAGGCTTGGTACCGTCTGTCAAGTACCCCCTACCATCGAAAAACAATAATTTTCAAAACATTTTAAAACTTTTAATTGAAAACATTATTTAAATATCCATCAGAGCTAACAAAACGGTGCAGAAGCTTAAATACTTAATCCAAAATACAACTTTGGGTTCTTGCCTGAAAACATATTAAATTCAAATATAATATTAAATTAAATAAACTCCTTCAGCCAGCATCCATCCATTTCTTCACCCTCGCTGCCCTCCAGGATTATTTCCTTAATCGTCATTCCTGTTACCTACATGTAGCAAGAGAACAAACGACACACGCTGAGCATTGGTGCTAAGTGAGAAATATATAGCGTTTGACTATGCATATAGGTGAATTGTAACACCTCGACCCACGTGACCCAAATACAAAGACCAACGACCATCTAGATACAATTACCGCGGTGCAAATTGGCTTATCGCGGTAGCCGGGGTGCAAATTGGCTTATCGTGGTAGCCGGGTACCCTTAGGCGATACCTAGCTACCGTCTGACATCAAGAAAGCACAGAAAGAGCAGAGTTTGATCCAATTCCAAACCATTCAATATGTGTAACGCTTTTAGCGGTAATTAACACACAAATCACACTACTTAAAGTACCTACCTAGCCGTCATTGATCAATCAATTCGAATAACATCATACTCCCTTCGTCCAAGTTGAAACTTCTCAGTTTGACTTTGAACAGTTTAAAATCTAATGCTAAAATTGTTTTGACTTTCCAAATTTACCCTTTTCTTCTTCCTCCTCTCAAACCCACCTCACCCATGAAAAGTTTCATTCTCAAACCCACCCACCCCGCCCTTGCTATGATTCTGTCTCAACCCCACCAATCCATGCCATCTTCAGTGATGAAGAGACTAGGCTCAAATTCATACAAAATAAAATTGAAAAAAAGTCGAAGAGATAAGAAGGGATTTATTCAAATCCACTCGTTAGGATTGACATCACCTTGTTGCCTGGAAGCTTTGCCGCTACCATCGCCACCTGGTCGTGAAGCATTCTCAAAAATGGAAGATGGATGGAAGCTAGATCTGTAAGTTTTTCTGCTAGATCTTGCTAAAATTGAAGTAAAATTAAGATCATTTCACTATGAAGGGGCGGAGTCTGGATTTAAGGCTCGGGTGACAAAGGAGCAGACTTCTAAATCTTAATCTATTGCGCCGCTACCCGTATGCCGCCGCTCGCCTGCCAAAGAAAAAAGAAAGGGGAGGGAGCTGACAATGAATAACATGTGAGGTGAGGATGAGAGCTAACAAAAAATGAAGAACAGGTGCAGGGTGACTGAAGAACAAGAAAGAAAGAAAGAAAGAAGAAAAGAAGAAAAAATGAGCAATGGTGGGGTGGAGTGGTTTGACCGAGAACAAATAAAAAAAAGAGTTATGGGGGAGAGAAATACTCCGTAGAATAAATGAAGAAAGGGTAAATTGGTAAATTTAAATGTAATTTATCTCTATTTTAGAAAACAAGAAGAATCGAGTGTAACGTCTCGAAAAGAAAAGTGGAAAAAAAGATATGAAACGAAGTGAGTATATTTTTAATGACTCATAATTCAAATTATAATCAAATTGATCACATAATCAATCCTACAAAATTACGAACGTACACTTTAAATCTATATGAACAAGCTAGTGTTAGATTGCCAGGTACTTATCCTGATAGTTAGACGAACAGTCACAACATTGTCAACATAGGCACGGTAGCCCACATGGAGATGTACCGTTGGTGAAGCGCAGTGATCCTGTGTTCAATCCCATGCGTTGGTGTTTTGTCTTTTTTGTCTTCTTTCTAAAGGAATTAATGGAGTAATTTGTATAGACGGTCGGCCAAATAAAATGAACTAGAGAGTGGTGCATTCGTCTGGGATTTTCTTGTGTTCCATGTGCTTAGGATTTTAACTCCTAGCCTTGTTCTTTATTCTTTTATTTATTTTTTTTCTTTTGTTCAAATCTCTTCACTTTATTTTGGTCTCAAGCTTCAAAGTTTATTTTCCTTCTTTCAATCAGTCTCATTGCGTCCAGATGAATTCAAAATACCCGCAAAACATATAAAACTAAGCATAGGACCGCTCTACCAAAATCAAATAGAAAATTAAAATAAAATATGAAAATGAAATTCAATTCGAACTCAAAATCACTCCAAATTGTGTCTAAAAATTGTATAAATATGTGTATATCAAGAGTTAAGAAAAATGATGCCAAAGCTTTTGGTACTTAATTCTAACACAACTTTGGTTCTTGCCCAAAAACATAATAAATTCAAATATCATATTTAAATTGAATAAACTCCTTGAGCCAGCGTCCATACATCTCCTCGTCCTTGCTTCCCTCCAGGTTTATTTCCTTATACGTCATTTCTATTACCTACGTTTAGCCTATCAATTTTTAGAAGTAATATTAAATAAAATTCACCTAATTTCACTCAATTTTTACCAAATTGTATTCAATTGAAGCGTAATACTATTTGAATTTATCTTTTATCTTTGCATTTAAAAACATAAAGGTATTAGCAGATGTGATAAAATTTTGACACATCAAAACTAAATTTTAAAATTAATTTAATTTTATTAAATATATATCATGATTAAATATATATATATTTTCATAATTTCTAGTCCAAAGTATTAAAATATGACTAAAAAGTAAAAAAGAAAGATTATTTAGGGTGGAAATAGCATAATTTGATAATATGAGGTGTTGAGTTGATAATAGATTAATAAATGTGATAAAAAAATGAAACATGGATAATAAGTCATTATTTAGAAAGTAATATAAATCGAAAATATATTTAACCAAAATATATCCGAAGTGAAATACATCCGAAACCAAAATCTATCTGATCCAAATTGTATCCAAACTGATCTATATCTGAACCGACTCGAAACCAAACCGAAACCGGTAAATGTATAGAACCGAATCAAATCCAAACCGAAATAAAACCGATTATAACATATATCTGAAAGATATCCAAACCGAAAAAATCTAATCCGGAACCGGTCTGGTTTACTCAATTGCTACCTGCCTACCTCTCAGGGCCGGTCCCGAGAATTCCATGGCCTGGGCCGAGACGGGAAAAAAAGGCCTAAAGGTCTTATTCCTAATGACTTAACGAATTAAAGTGTGTAAATAAATTATATTTGAATTACAATTAACGTAATAATGATTTACTAAAATGAGTGGATCAAAATCATAGTAAATATATATACTTTTATCCCCAAATCAATGTTCTAGAAATTAGTCCGATTGTCAATCCAGACGAGCTAGTGGGTCAAGGGTTAAATAGTTGAACCAGTCGACTCAGGGGTCAACAGCTTGATCAATTTTAATTAAAATAAATTATATTATTAGATTTTTTTTAATAAATAAGGAAATTTAATTTGTGTTTTTTCATTCTTCCATCTAGTTTTTTTTATATCATTTTGCATATGTCATCACACTTTCTATTTTCTATTTGTATTATTTATTACAATTAGAGATAAATAATGAATATCAAATAAATATATACTAAAATAGAAAGGCAATACAATTATTTAAAAGAATAAAAGCTAGGTAATGTGTTTTTAGATAATACTATGTAATTTGTAGGTAACTAACACTTCATACTTATATTTAGTTGATTGAAACAAGAAAAGTAGAAGACAAAATTAATTTTAATATATTAAAGTATAATTAATAAGCATTTCTTAATTTTTATTGATGATATTTTTTTAGGTATAAGTATTAATATTAATTTTTAGAAAAAAACATAAAAAGAAGTTATTTTTCTACTTGTGTTTCTTTTTTTAAATAA